TGCAGTGAAATCATTCTGAAAAAATTTTAAATAACCCTGTCTCTTCTCTCCAAATCCCCTTTTCTGTTATCTGGCCCACTTTCCAGTGTCAGGAGATTTCAAAAATCCTTAAAAAAGAAGCTGTTTATCAACTATCTTGTATTCTTTGGTAACCTTTGGGTTTTCACTTCCCAGCTCTGTTATTGTCTCCCCACAACGCCCCCTCCCACCCCACACTCCCAACTGCCGAAGAATTCTCAGAGACTATTTTTTAAAAAAATTTCCCCTATTTAATTAAGCTGGTAATTTTTTGAGTCAGATCCTTTCTCAGAGTCATACAGTTAAATTAAACATTTAAAAATATCAACTTGAGGAAATAAATGTTTATAAATGTAGGCATAACTTCAATCTAGGAGGAACCCCACAAAACCAAAATGTCATTTGGGTTCTGTTATTGAGATTTTAAAGCTCTTCTTCCTCTTCTTCCCCCTTCTCCTTTTTTTCTCCTTCCCCTGCTCCTTCCACTTCCCTCCTCTTCTTCTTTATTAAAATAAAATGCTGCTTTGCACAGCTTGAATTCATAGTTATGACCTCATTTCTTTCTTGTACTCAATCTGTCTACTTAAACTATTTTGTTTGGCTATGTCACCCAGCAGTATTTTTCCATTAATGTTATCTTGGATTGTCTCTTCACTACTCATGTTTCTTGTACTTGTATTTGATATTTTTCAGAGCAATTATGCTGTTATGGTCTGTCTCACAGGGTTTTAGACTTTTGGTCTATTACCTCAGGCAAAGATTGACTTTTGAACCTAAAATTAACTAAATTGGTGATATAGTTATGGCTAATTGGCTTATGAACTGATTAAATTTTCAAATGTTGAAGGGACCTTATCATATTTGTTTTAATGTTATAATGAAGAAATGCTTCGTAACTTGAAAGTAATATATCTGTTTCTGATTTACTTTTCTAAATATTGTCTTGATGCTGCTACCACAGTTTCTTAAGCGTAAATTTTTCTTTTGCTGTGAGATTAGGCTAGCCCTCAAACCTATTGCCCAGGCTCAGATACCTCAGGCTAGAAAGTGGAATTATTGCATCAGCATTAAGATTGAGTTAAAATGCAATGAACATATGATCCTGTGCATCTCACATGCTTAAAACATTCTTGTTGGGTATCCTTGAAGGACCTTGCCTTTTATGAGCCCCCAGCCACCACAGGGACTGCTTGAATTAAGGTTTTATTTTGATTATTTTCTATGCCATGTCATCTTTTAAAGTTATATAAAAAGAACAACAATATCACAAACCCATGGCCTTTCTCTCTGGAGGGTTTCTTCTGAACCACTTTTGGGTTTGTGTAATGTTTCTTCTGCTTTTTCACTTGTCTGAGTATTATTTATTTCTTCACCTTTCAAGCATTTCTTTTCCACATTTCTACTGCTGTGTTCCCTTGGTTCTCTTCTCCCCTTCAGTTCAAAATGAAAGGACTGAGATAACCTCCATCAAGTTCTGGTGTCACAATAGGCACGACAGAAATATCATCCTCCTTACACTGGATATTGCCTTTGGAAGTCTGTGTGGCCTCTACCAAACAATGCCTTCCTGTTACTGATGCACAACATTGTTGTAGCTCACATTTGGTCTCAAAGCAATCTTCCTCAACCATTCACATTGATGCAGTTGCACGTATTAACGCATTCGAAAGACAAATCTTAATCATTTTTGAAGGATTTATTTCCTTGTTGCATAATGATTTAATTATGAGAAACCATCACTTTTAAATAGGGTGCCTAATATCAGTGTATGGAACTACTGTAGCACATCTCTCTTCGTGTTTTATATTCAATTCTTAATCTCATTTATCTGACTTTATAGATTCTTTTTACACTGAAGCCCAAAAGATGATGATGTATATGCTCTTATGGAAATAACCATGGAGCCTTGAAGTATGGTTGTGAGTCAGATTTTGTTTTGAATTTAGGCTTTACAACTTGCTATGTGATAGTGTAAAGTTATTTAACTACTCTAAACCTCAGGTTTCTTATATGAGAAATAGGGAAATAATAAAGATTGTGAAGATTAAATGAAACCGTATTGTAAACAAGGTAAGCACCCAGTAAGGTAGCAAGAATAGTAAATGATCAATAACTGTTAGCCAGTAGTAGTGCAAGCAGGGACAACAGCAGCCATTTGTTATAGAGTCATTTTATCTGTCATAGGAACTCAGAGAGAGGCAGAGTGGTTGAGTGTTTAGCATTAATACTTACGGGAGATTCAGTAGATTAAACCAGTGACCAATGGATATTTTTAAATGGCTGAATAGAAAAATGACTGCTTTGGGAAGTCCTAATTGACTCCTTGAAATTTTTCTATACAAGCTCTGTTTACAGTTGGCTATTTATTTGCTTTTTAAAATGTGTGTTTAAAATCTGGGCCATTTAAAAAATTCTTTTGATATTAAAAAATTTTAATTTAATTGGTTTTTGCAATCCACTTTTATTTTAAAGCCTGATTAGAATTAATTTCTTATACCTGCTTTTTCTCGTTTGTGAACTACTTGCCCTGGCAGTTGCAGTAGAGGTGGAATTTGTGTTCTGGGTCCTTTGGATTTGTGCACGGACACTTAAGAAAATGTCAGAGAAATAGAAGAAATCCTAGTGGAGAAACAAAAGACACAGGCTAGTGTATGCAGTTAATGGACATCTAATTTAATTTCATCAACAGTGGATGTGTCTCAAGCATAAAGCTAAGTGAGAGGCAGCCACTTAATGGTCCCTGGAATCAAAGGTGGGATGAGTATTTTAGTCCTAGCTTGGTGACTAAGTGGCTAAGTGATCTTATCCTCTCTGAAACTTCATCTCTCTGGATTTCATTTCCTCATTTGGGTTTGGCTTAGCTGATCTCTAAAGTCCCTTCCAGCTCTAATATTATATTTCCTCTAGAAATAATAGCTTACTTGTTTTTATGGTCTTATTCTTCTTTGTTGTATGTGCAGATGGCATAATGAATTACCACTTTTCCTTCTTTCAGAGTTTTTTAAACTTCAGTCTTTAGTGTAAGTTATAGATATTTTTCAGATATACTTATGTATTGCACATACTGTTAGATCTTCATAGTTTTTAAAAAACAGTCTTGAAGTGATTGACTTCTTTAACTTAGCATTATTCTAGCTATATTGTGTGTTAAGTTAAGGATTTGGTATAAGATATTTGTGTAGTATACAATTAAATTAATATAAAACTATTAAACTATTAAAATAAAATATTTATCTCCATACCTCTCTAAATCTTATTAATAGAATATGTGCTGCTCTTTGGGAAACAGCAGTATGTTTTGGATTTGTTTCTTCAACCATCCTCATCCTCCCCTAATATTTTTGGTATGTTTTCTGTACTTACATGCACATGCCAATGCTTCTGATTGACCTACTAAATCTACTAAACTAGATTGGCCATAATGAATAATGGAAGCTTGCAGTGTGCAGGTGGACTCCCAGAATTATGACATGTTTGATTTTGCTGGACACTTAAAAGAACCACCATTCTGGAATTGCCTTCGTTTATTTTCACAGCCTGAAGTTCTCTCTATGTGCCCAGGTAATATGTCACCTGACTAAAAGTCCATATAAGAACTGGTTTACTTTTGTATTCATTCTTATCATGAGGATAAGTCCTTTAAGGCTGTTTATCTGACACAGATGCTGTGGACTTTTACTTTGGCCTCACTTGCTCTGGTAAGCTGTCAAAACCAATGTTAAGGTTTTCAGTTGATACATTGGATAGGCAAATATTCTCATTATTTTTCTCTTGCCTTGTGCTGGACGTTTTTCTGGCTTTGTGCTTTCTCTCTATTGTGTTACTTCTTCAATGCTTTTAAGAATTTTTGTATTTTTTAGTAGATTTATCAGGAGGTTTGGTTCTAATTATTCAGCCCAATGTTATTAAAAACAGTAGTTAATTTATTCTTTTATTAAAACATTTAAAAAAATTTTTAATTTCATGAGACATCAGATGGAAAGAATGGTAGATTCAATTGTTCAGTTCTCCTTCTTGAGTCAATCTCCTAGCAGGTAAAGCTCGGCTTTGTTGTTAAAGATGGGGACACTATTTTGGCGGTAAAGCATCTTATGAATAATAATAGCTGTGATTAATTATGATTATATGATAATGAGGAAACTTTATTTAGCCATTGCAATGTGCCAGGTACTCTATGCTTTTCATGCATTATCTTATTTAATTATTATGAAGTATCTAATTTAGTGTTACTATTTCTATTTTACAAAGCATTATCTGAGACTTAGCTGCCATATCACTTGCTAGAGTTTACCTCGATAGCAAAGTGGCAGCAATATGCTTCAGGCCCTGTCCTGTGCTTTGGAGAGATGGAAATAGCAAAGTCCAGCTTACTTCCTGCCTTCATGGACTTTACAGGATTTAACTCCTGGACTCTTCTTTCTATCTAGTCTCAGGACATGCTCTAAGGACACTGGTCCGGTCAGGGATACAATTTTAGAGTCTGAAAGCCTGATTCACTGGTATATTCACTAACATTGAAGATAATGTCTCTTGTGAGGCAATGACTATAAGTTAACACAAAAGTAAAACAGAGAGATAAGCAAAGAACAGAAGTGTCTTTTAATTCCCTAATCACTCTTCATTACATGTAACATAGTGCTTTATTCAAAGTTGGTAGTAAATGAATGTTAATTTCAGTACGTTCATTGGCTATTATAAGACTTAATGGAAGTCTACGGCCATGCTACCTTGAACAAGCCTGATCCCGTCTGATCTTGGAAGCTAAGCAGGGTCGGGCCTAGTTGTACTTGGATGGGAGACCACCTAGGAAGACCAGGTGCTGTAGGCGTAAAAAATAAAAAATAAGGGATTGTAAGCTGACAAGGTCTTTGCCATCTGTGAGGTCAACCAAGGGTTGCCTCTCGATTCCCACATTATATTTTTAGATATAGACTGGCAAGGATACTGTTTTATTTATTTATATTATTCCTCTTGGTTTACAGTTATTTGCTGGCATAAAGGATGGAGAAAGCCTGCAGCTCTTTGAACAGAGTTCTCGTTCTACCCATAAACAAGAGACACATACCATGGAGGCCATGAAGCTCGTAGAGTTTAACCTTAAGCAGACACTTACCAGGCTTGTGACACATCTTTTTGGAGATGGTAGGTACTCAAATGCCTTTGTCTTTGGGGGTTAAATATTCCATAATTATCATATTCCTGAAATCATTAAGGCTAGTTGTATCTAAATTTTTTGGTCTAAGTCGTGGCTTAATGTTTCGGGTCCTTTAGTGAGGTAGAACTTGTAGATTTCCTGGTTTGTTCCATGTGAGCAGAAAGATATGAAAATGAAATTAGCTAGGGAAGGAAATGATGATATCCTATGAAAAGAATGATAATGGATTAAGATCAGGGTCATCAATGGGGAGAAAGTGTACAGACTGATTAGTGTTATTGTATAACTATGTTATCATTAAGTCAGACATGATCAATGGGGCAAGATTCGCTATTTCCACACATTTTATTTATTTATTTATTTATTCATTCATTCATTCATTCATTAATTTATTTATCTATCTATCTACTTATTTATTTATCTATCTATTTTAAAAAATTACACTTGACAGTCAATATTATATTAGTTTCAGGTGTACAGCATAGTGGTTAGACATGTATATAGCTTACTAAGTGATCCCCCCGATGGGTCTGGTCCTACCTGACACCATACATAGTTATTATAATATCATTGACTGTATTCCCTATGCTGTGTGTTAAACATCTGTGACTCTTTTGTAACTGCCAATTTGTACTTCTTAATCCCTTCACCATTTTAACCCAGCCTCCCAAGCCCCCTCCCACTTGGCAACCATCAGCTTGTTTTCTGTGTCTGTGAGTTTGTTTCTGTTTTGCTTGTTTATTTATTTTGGTTTTTAGATTCCACATATAAGTGAAATCATATGGTATTTGTCTTTCTCTGTCTGACTTATTTTACTTAGCGTAATACCCTGTAGGTTCACCCATGTGGGGCAAGATTCTTAACCATGCGAGTGAGCCCAGTAGAAAATTTTACATATTTATGTACTGATTACTACAGTGGACAGCAAAAACCTTAACAGTGAATTTCCTGGAGGAATAACAATACTTTTAAGAGGTAGACTCTCACTTTAATCATTTGCCTTTGTATTATTTTTCCCAAGAAAATTTTTGTTTATAATTCATTCCTCCCCCCCCCCCAACTATTTCTAACTTCCTTGAGGTAATATTTTGTTTGTTTTTAGAAAGCTGTAAAGAGGTTAGGAGATTTTCTTTAATTATGACCTACATTTAAAAAATATTTAGAAGACAGAAGTCTAGCATGGTTAGGATTCTTTTTTATTCTCTTATTCTAGTGCACTTTTTAAAGAACAGTTTTATTGAGGTATAATTGACATAAAATAAACTATACATATTTAAATTTACAATCTACTAAGTTGACATACAATAAACTGAATGTATTTACACAATTTTATAAGTTTTGACACATGTATACACCTTTGAAACCACCAGCAGAATCAAGAAAATAAACATGTTCATCACCTCCAATAGTTTCCTGCTGTCCCTCAGTAATCTCTTCTTCTTGCCCTTCCCTACATTTCCTTACTCCAGGCCACCAGTGAACTACTTTCTGTCACTATTAATTAGTTCACACCTTTTAGATTTATATAAATGGAAGTCTATAATGTTTACTCCTTTTTTTTTGGCTTGGCTTATTTTACTTAGGCTAATTATTTGGAGATCCATCCATGGGGTACTGTATACCAATAGCTTATTCCTCTTTATTGCTAAGCATTCCATTCCATAGTTTATCCATCCACCCATTGACAGATATTTGGATTATTTCCAGTCTTTTGCTAATACAAATAAAGCTTCTAATCTCATTCATGCACAAGTCTTTGTATGGATATATGCTTTCATTTCTCTTCAGTAAATACCTAGGGGTAGAATTGTTGGATCATATGGTAGGTGTAATTTAACTTCTGAGATGCTGCTAAACCATTTTCTGATTTGATTGTGCAATTTCGCATTGCTTCTAGTTGTGTATGACAGTTCTAGTTGCTCTATCTACATTTTCAACAACACTTGATATAGTCAGTCATTTTAATTTTAGCTATTCTAATAGAAGTGTAGTAGTATGTCAAATAAGCATTTAACATATATAAATAACTCCAAAGAAACAAATGAAAATGAACCTAAGAGAAATGTGTGAGCGTGAAGGTGAGAAATAATGTAGCTAGAATGGATACACGAAGAGATGATCACCCTTATTAGTAATCAGGGGAAAACAAATGAAAGCCACCATGATCTATCCTTTGTAATTTTCCATATATGAAAATACTTTTGAAAATCTTACATTTATAAGTGTTGACAAAGATATAGAAAAATAGATGTAGTAGAAAGTCCTGGTTCTATGTAGGAGTCTCAGTTACCATCTCCCACAGCTAGAACTTGAGTGCTCACTTATAACTCTTGATTCACTTCTATTTTTCCTACCTCCAGATTTCCCCTACCTATGTGTAAACTCAAATATGTATTTAAAAAGATTCTTGTTATAATGTAGTAAGCTTTTGATGGATGTCCTATTTTATCAGGGTTTGTTTGAATGTCTAGACTTCCATATTGTCAAGTTCATGTAATATTTAAGAAGCCACTAAATAATCCTATATATTCTTTATATGCATACATTTTTAAAAAGCGTATATCAGCTTCATGCTTGTGTCTTTTTCTAGGAAGTGGAAAATGGTATTAGGAAAGAGGTACAAACCAGGCTTCAAATGTGTTCATAGTGTTTTTTTTTTTTTAAATAAAAAAGATATAAAGTTAAATATGAAAAAATGTTATGATTTGATAAAACTGAATAATGGGTACATGGAAATTTGGTATTTTCTATTTGTCTGGTTTGAAATATTTCATATTAAAATGGTATAATGTAATAGTGAAACAGGTTTCAGATAGAGATTACTGTTGTGAAAATCCTATTATAGCCGCCTTCTCTTTAATGATAAAAGAAAGGAATTATGCTATTGTTAGCAGTAATATACTCTATTTAACACTGGAATGCAGGGAGATGGATTGTGTTGTTGAAGCCATTTTTGAGGCAGGTTATGGTAGAAGGGATTTGTGTATTTTAGGGAGGTAGTGGTCTGTCTCTAGTAGCTTTGCAAAAAGATTCATGCTTAATCTAAATTTTTCTATTGTCAGTCTATGGAGAGAATTATTAGAGCTCTCCTTATTTATGTCTTGCTACACATTTCTATCATCAAATGACTTGCTGTTTGTGAGGTTTAGAAACTGCCTCATAGTTAAATAACTGATTTTGAATAGATGGGTAGCCTGCTTTCTCTAATGACTAGTATTTCTGTTTTTCCTTCTTCTTTGTTATTTTTCAAATTCCCTCCCGCCCCACTGCACCCCTGTTTAGTACCACCAGCTCCTTCACTTGGCTAATTCTTACTTACCCTCTAGTGCTGGCTCAGCTGTCCTAGAATCAGGACCCTTTCCTGGAGCTCATGCTGAATCCTGGAGAAGGTGTCTTGTTGTGATCATCTTATCTCTCTTTGGGGATGGACTTATATTTTTCTGAGCAGGAAGCACCACTGGATTTTTACCATATTGTGAGCATCACAATACTGAATAAGCTAGACATAGTCCCTGCCTTCAAGGAGCCATGAATCTTAAATCCTCTCACAGGGAAACAGTGCGTGCTGCAGGAGCACAGAGGAGAGGCACCTCGGCATGGGCTCCAGGAAAGGTTCTTGGGTGGGGAGCATCCAGCTGACACCGGTCATGGAGAACAAGCATAAAGCCGTGTAGCCTTAAGGAATGAAGAAGGAAGAGGAGAAAGGAAGAAAAATGGTTAATAGAAAAATCTCATGACCACTGGGATATAGTAGTATGGAATCAGAAAAATTAAAGTTCTCTTTCATTCACTTACTCTGAAATCTTGAACAGGTCATTTAGTGCTTTAGGCCTCAGTTTTCTAACTTTTAAAAGTCAGAGTAGTAACACTTGTTTTACATGAGCATAAAATGAGCTAACATGTGAAAGGTGCCTTGTAAAAAGAAAATGTTAAATGTGTAAATATGAAAAAAATGAAGAAATGAGGGAGGGAAGGAAAATTATGACAAGGCAATAAAAGCAGGGAGCATATGAAGAAACAGTAATACTATCAAGAACAATAGTTATGGCTGATTTTGTCTTAATTTTGTCTAATGAAATGAGATGTAATTTTGTATCAGACTATGGCACAGCAGACAAATTGGTCTTGATGGTGGCCTTAACATTCTCTCCGAGCAGCAGCAAATATTTTAAAAAGGGTGCAACATGCTAGACCCTGTAGTGATTATAAAAAATGTTCCCATGGTCCTCGAGAATATTCATTTTTCTGAATATGGTCCTTGACTTTCCTTTGTGTCATTTTTTAAAATATTTATATTTAAATAGCTTTTAAAACTGTGTGTTGAGGCGAAAGTTTCCAGGTAGCAGTTTTCCTTACAAAAAAAAAAACATTTCTGCAGTTTATGATTTTTCTGACTATGATACCCATCATGCCCATGGCCAAGAATTAAGAATCTTAACTCTTGAAACAGCAGTGAAATTGTAGCTTCTCTACTTCAGGCAAATGCTTGCTTTATTTTTAAAATACAACTGGCCTAGACTTTTAGGTGTCACATTTCATTACAGATCAGAGTTGCTGTCTTGTAAATCTTCAAATTTATTTTTTGTTTATAAGACTGAATCAGCAGAATTATGGAATGGCATTAAAGTAAAAACCCACCTGCTTGAAGAATATATGTTGTTCATATGCACTAAAGCCTATCTGTGAAAAAATCCTCTTTTTCTTTCTTTACAGCCATGAGGTCATTTTTAACCCCATCTGCACAGTAGCCAAACACCCTGAAAATCCATAAAGATGTGTTAGCCACACATCTGCGTAGCCCTGGTGCATCTTTACTGAGTGTATTGCTGAGGAAGCAATTGCCAGAGGGAATGTGTAAGCTTGTTCCCGGGTGTGTCTACATGTTTGTACCATCTGCTAAGATGCTTCTCAGGGCAGCTATTAAGCAGGGGGGAAAGTGACCCAAACCCAGGTTCATTAGGAAGTATAAGGGTGAGGGGTTATATAT